CTCGCCCATCTCCGTCAACCTCTTCCCCGCCTCGCCGCCTTCACCACCCACGCCCTTCCCCCACCCACGCCCCCTCACGCGTCGCGCCCCTCTGCGTCAAACGCCACCGCAGCCGGCCGCCACCGCCCCCTGACGCGCGAGGCGACGCGACGCGGCGTGTTATCACCGCCCACTATTTTTCCGGTGCATTTTCCAGCGGCTGGATTGCGTGGATTGTGTTACAATTATTTCCAGCATTCCTCTTTCGGGCGCGGCTCGTCCATCACGCCGCCCCTTGACGACGCGTGCGCCGAGCGGTATTTTATTGTTTTAATGGAATCGAGCGCGTTACGCCTCGCGCAGGGGTCGCGCATCTGCAGATATCCCAGGGCGCGAAAATATCGGCGCGGGCCGGCAAATATGGATAGATCGCCGGTGCGACGGTGGCTGCGGTGTAGCGCACTATGGTCTGGGTTCACTAAAAATCGAACACAATTTTGAAGGTTATTATTGAAGCACTAAAAATTGGTGGGTTGCTGGTAAATGCTTGACGCCTTGGTCTTATAAGGAACAAGTGTTTTGGCGTTTCCATTCTTAACTTAGTATCTATTTGATATATCCACAACTGCCCAGTTCGTTTTTAAAGTTTCCAATACGTTTTTCCAAACCTTACCTTCTTCTCCACCAGCAAGTAGTTTCACACTTGAAAAACCCTACACCCAAAGTCGATTTCAATACGGATTCCCAAAGGATAAATTCAGACAACTTAAATATTCTATTTTATCTTATACCCTATTGGTATTAATTCCTAATCCTCGACAAATTCCTCCAAATCACCCCAAGCACATAGTAAGTAAATTGAAATTGAGGACTCCAGGGGGAGTGGCCTCGCTCTCAATAAAGCTAATGCTGAGTTAGCTATATATTATTAATATGAAAGTTCTCTTGCAAAGCGCTAATCCGCAAGGCCTATGTAAGAAAATAAAAAAAAACAGCAACTTAGTATCTTTTCCAAATATATTAGGGTTCTTTTTCACAAATAATGGGTCTCGGAGTGTGAAATCGTGCAGAATTAAAAATAGCTAAAAAGGATATATGATGCTAACTTAAAAATAAAATCACGAGGGTAAAGAGTCATTTAGTAGTCGAAAAATGGAACCTACATGTTAAACAAATGGTGTGATTAATAAATGATTCTTCACATTTATGATTCTAATTTACGTGTTAACTGTGTTATTTATTTTTGATCTATTTTGACCTCTACCTAGATTCATAATATGAGAAGCAGCTTTTAGAAATGGTGGTGATAAAACAGCACGTACTTTCACTCAAAATTACAGAAAAATATTCAAATTTTCGAAAAATTGTACATAATCTTATTTAAAATTTAGCTCCAAAGAATATATTTTGTTTCGAGAAAAATATGTATTTTTAGTATTTTAGTTGAAGAACGACTCCGAAAAAATGCTGAACTTTTGCAATTTTCAAAGAACATGAGACATGCACCATTCTATTAACGTTCCTTCACACTATCCAACAACAAAATTTCTTAAAAAATGATGGAGTATTTTTTGTAAATTTTGAAAATGTCTCATTACCTTCATGTAAAGTACCAACGCAAATATCTTTTTCAAATTCAAGGCACCGCTAAATCATAATTCGGGATTATCAATTTTAGATAAAATTGACATAACGCTTTGGCCGCTAGTGTTGTTCACAGACGGATAGGCACACCACGTGACATAAGATTTTTTTCTAAATTTAACAACAACTGGATTTATCCACTTTTGCGTTACAAAGGTCCTGTAAAAAGAGTTTTTCAGCCGAAAATTCACCGTTTTGGGGGAGGACAAAGCAGAATCGCTGCAGGTTTTCACAGAGTTTGCTCGTTTCCCCTGCTACTCATTGAATACTTAATTATTAGTTCTTTACGACAAAAATATTGTATTAGATCTTATTACAATTTTCGATTGTATAATAATCAAATAAGATCGTTTATTCAACGTATCTTTTGGTCGACAATTTTTTATTCACTTTGAAAATTTTCCAATGGACTCTAATTTTGGTTAGAATTTGATCCTACGAAAGATGGCATATTGATAGTGATAGAAGTTAATACGAGGACAACGATTAATCCTAATATCACCAATAATACATACCTTAAAATTATTGTTAATAGTGGGCTAGGAATTATTGCAAGTATCGTGATACCTCTATTACAATACTAATTTTAGTTTCTTAAAGCCTCACTATAGACAATCAAAGTGAAAAAAGCATTTAACATGAAAGAAGTACGTCAGAAATGCAGTTCAAAAGTATTGACGAGTAACGAGAAAATATAACGTTTACGAGTATAACAACAATTGAGAAATGATAATCCTCGAATAATTTGCATTAATTAATTAATCTGGCTTCTTAACTATGTTAGCGTGAATTCTAAAACAAACAGACTAAAAATTATAAGATAATGAGAAACAAGAAGCACAGGCCATTTATTCCATTCATATGGGCTTGAGTCAAACAAATAGTGTTACCTATTTGAAAAAATGTCAGTTTGTGTTTTAAATCCACCTTCTCTCTTCGGACTTGCGAATCCAAAGTCAATAGCAAAAATTAATACGGCTGTTGAAATATCGAAATGCGTCGTGTTACATACGATGGCTGGGAGAGCTGATATTTTTCCAATGATTGTTTCCTCATGAAAATGCCCCAATTAGATTGTCATCACACGTCAAAACGTACTGGCTGTTTTAGCACCACTAGTTGAAAAATACCCCGTGTTGGCGAGAGTTCTCAAACTATTTAAATTGAAAGAGACAAGGCACTTGATATTCATTTCATCTTTTGAATCTCCTGAAATGTCCAATTTTGAGAAGTCGTAGACAATGGTTTTTGTCCATACTTTTCGCCCAGCAAACCACCGTGCGGCGCGAATCCAAAATCAATGCGTCGCGACCGATTAGGCTCTCTGTCGCCAGCAAAGGGATGCAGGTCGGATGATGTATGAACTGCAGGTCCGGTATCTCCACCGTTCTGTTTTTAGAGAAGCGGCGAAATTACGGGTATAACGAATGGTGGAGCCGCGCTTTTCCCTCGAAAAAAAATTTTAAAAAAATAACAGTCTGTTTTTGCGTGTGTTCGTTTTATCGGTGGCGGGAGACGACCTGGTCGCTTAGTAGTTGGCTTAGGCAGTTATCCGTTGGGCAGCTGAGCTGATGTATTTTGTCTTTTCTGCGCGCGTGATTTGTCGATCGATCACAGTGCACAGTGACAAAGTGGTGGAAATAAAACTAGGCGTGTTGCGAAAGTTTTCCTTGCACGCATTGGATACACAAATACACAATAATAGCCAATGTATTCGAATACTCATAACGTCAATTGATCTTCAGTTGTTGTTTTACTTTACTTACCAAGGGGTCAAAGAGGGATAATCATACGTCATACTAATGCAGTTCTGAAATACTGGTGTAGCAAATCGAATGCTTGGTAAACGCCTGTAAATCAGAGCGGTTCCCACTTAAAATATGCGAGGCGATAATCTGCCCTCTGTCTCACAGTCGTAATGATTTTGTAATTTCTTCTCAATATATTCAAATCAGTTTCCTCATATTGATTGTTTCACATCCAAAGGAGTATTATCATTAAGAATGAAATTAATTATCAACTAATTATCATCAATAATATCATTAAATTTCAAGTTACCATTTAATATTTTATATCAGTATTTCAAAAAATGTTATTAGGGGTTGCGAACTGAAATGCGATGCCCCACATACTTTATTCACACGCTCCTGCTCGAACGAGATAATAGTAATGGTCAATTAGGAGAGAGTCTCTCACGGACCGTTGTGGTATGTTTAGACTAACTCATAATTATGATTTTTGTCTTCATTTGGGCTCTTCAAATCTATGGTAAGAATTTCGTGGGAACAACAATTATTGGTAAGTATTTAAACATTATAGATAATTGATTTCCCGGGGTTTTTAGAAATAAAGCAAAACCAAATTGAACAAAATGGAAATTATTTAGTTTATTTACGTAATAGTGATATAAATGTTTTAAAAGCTAAATAAGAATATGCGTTAATACGGCAAGTTTTAAACAATCGCGGTGCTTTAGGAATAAATATACGAGACATTTTAATTTTAAAAAATCTGTCTTGACTAGCAAAACCAATTTGCAATATATCAAAATCAGAATAATTGCCTCACATCAATATTAAACTTACAAAAGATTCGGGAACAAATCCATTTCCAGTTCCCCGAGAGCAAAAAAAAGTTTCCAACGTCGAATTCCAAAGATCTCATCCGCGAAAATGTACAGGTCAGACACCTTTATGTACACGAAACGCAATCCATCCATAACACTTACGAAGGGGGATCAGCAACAAACCAAACAGCGCAGCATACGTTTGCGTCACGCGATGTTTACGGGCCGCGCGTATAACTCACGCAAGGAGAGCGTGCTACGAGGGCGGGCATTCTGCTCGCGCAGCTTCGAATTTCAGGCGGCAGCGGCGCG